TATTTTTTATTTATTTTTTTATTATTTTTTGTGTGAGTGTATCATCAAATCAGATCTGACTGGTACAGGAGGAGATTGTGCCTCCTTTCCCGGCAGAGAATCTGGTGGATTTGAACCGTGTGCCTCTGGGATTGTAGTTGCAGCTCCTTACCACTAGGCCACCAGAGCTGGGTTTTCTATTTTTTGATCATTCACATAAATTTTGTCTCAATGAAATTTATTAGTCCCCACATTTTAACAGCATTCTTCCTGCTTTATATGCTTTGTCCCTGGGCAAATACTGACCTTTTGATTGATCTAGAAAGTAACTCCCTGGTGTTTATCTTCCAAGCTTGTCCATTGTTTGTCTTAAAGTTGAGGCACAGAGATGAGTTTAGTTGCAGCTCAAAGGGTTAGTAAGTACTATAATCTTGGGAATCTGCCAGTCTATTAAATGTGGCTTACTGCTAAGAAGTTGCGCTGCCTATGGTTGGTCCACCAACTGGTTGGGCTGTTGTTTATCACTTGGTGGCTTAGTAGTAAGGAATTGCACTGCAAACTCAAAGGCACATGGTTTGCATACACCAGCTGCTTTCTGGTAGAAAGACAGGACAGTCTCCTCTTAATGTAATTTACAGCCTCTGAGAACCCACTGGAAGATCAGCTAGGAGTTGATTCTTACTTGATAGCACATAACATTAGATCAGCAATTTTGTTAATCTTTATAATTTTGAGGGTTTTGGGTTTTGTTTTGTTTTTTTCCTGTCCAAGACCTCTCTTGTGATCCCTTTGAGAGCAGTCAGCAGTGGTACTAGACAAAGCTGCCTTAATGTTTGCCTTTCCCACTCCTGCTGCAGCCTTACTAGTGAACTCCAAAGAGGACTGATGGGAACAGCAGAGTCGGCCCCTTTGGGTCAGCTGCCCAGCTTCTGTCCAGTGAGGATGGGAGGAGTCAGCCATGGCTCATCCTCACTGAGGGTTATGGGCAGGGGTGTCTTCTGGAAAGGATGAAGACAAGCAAAAATAGAGAATCATTTCAGTCACAGGAAAGACATTCAAACACCAGTCTCAGAGTTTTAAAGGGGTTATCACTTTCCATCCCTGTAGAATAAAGGAGAGAACCTGAAGAAGTGAGCAGTGTTAATAGGTGCAGTGCCTCCAGTCTTCTGCTGTCCTACATGATAAAGAGGTTTTAACCATAGTTCCCAGATCTTAGATATTGGTGACAAAATTGAGCTGGTAAAAAGCACTGAGGCCTCACAGAGCTCTTTCTATTTGGTGGTCCAGGACCACATGTGCATACCTGCATCTGAGTTCTATGTGTGTGTCTTTCTGACTTGTGTTTCAGATCTCGTGAGGACCATTCAGCAGTCCAGAGCAGAGATGTATGAAGATACTCACAGTGAAGCCAGGTACTCCCTCAGCAGGTCTGTAACCCATCCTTGGGACACTGATAGAGAAGGCCTAAGAGATTTCCTAGGTCTGCCTTTAGTTCCAGCACCCTTCTTTGAGTGACAATATCTACTTTAGCGAAGACTTAGACTTTTCCCACTCTGACTCTCAGGACCAGGTCTTTAGCCACCCAAAGTTGGGACATTTCCAGTCTCAAGACTGGAAATTTGCACTCCATGGTTCTTTAAAACAAGAATGTAGTCCTCCAGTTTCACAAGAATCCTCTTGGTCGCAGGAATATATATGCTTTTGGCTCTTTTTCATTATTAGGGGACTTTGGCTCCTCCAGGCTCATTGAGAAAGGAGTGTTTGGAGAAGGAGAGTCAGGATTACGACTTGGACCTTCCAAGTGAGGCACATCCTGTGCACTGGGGCGGAGGCTGAATTCTCAACATTTGCTGACCAGGAAAGTGGTGTTCTGGGGAAGGGAGAGACTCAGGCTGTTGGGAATCTTGTCAGTCTAAAAAACATGACCACAAAGAATTTACCTATAAATCGTGTCACTCCCCAGATCAAGGCAGCTAACCAAGTCCAGAAAACCATCCTAACTCCTGATCTGACCCTCGGAACCAACCTGGGGACAGAAGATACCCAGTTCCCTGTGCAGAACCTCCCCTTGGGGCTTGAGCTGAAGAATATCCAGCTTCCCAGAAGGAAGATGAACTTTGACCTCGTGGATAAGTCTGATGTCTTTTCAAGATTTGGGGTAGAAATTATCAAATGGGCAGGATTCCACACCATAAAAGATGATGTTAAATTTTCCCAACTTTTTCAGACTCTCTTTGAGCTTGAAACAGAAACCTGTGCTAAAACACTTGCTTCATTCAAATGCTCCTTAAAGCCAGAGCACAGAGATTTTTGCTTTTATACTATCAAATTTTTAAAGCACTCTGCTTTGAAAACACCCCGAGTTGATAATGATCTTTTAAACCTGCTTTTAGACAAAGGTGCTGTGAAAACCAAAAATTGCTTTTTTGAAGTCATAAAGCCCTTTGACAAGTATATAATGAGGCTCCAAGACCGGCTTCTGAAAAGCATCACACCACTCCTTATGGCCTGCAATGCCTATGAGCTCAGTGTTAAGATGAAGACCCTCACCACTCCTTTGGATTTGGCCTTTGCTTTAGAGACCACCAACTCACTCTGCCGCAAGTCTTTGGCCCTTTTGGGACAGACATTTTCCTTGGCCTCCTCTTTCCGGCAAGAGAAAATCTTAGAGGCCATGGGCCTTCTAGATTCAGCTCCCTCTCCCGCCTCATTTCCCAACTTTGAGGATTCTACTTTGTTTGGAAGAGAGTACATCGACCACCTGAAGGCCTGGCTGATCGCTAGTGGGTACCCGATCCAGATCAAGAAGTTTGTACCTGAGTCATCTGAGGAGGATGAGGAAGAGGAGGAGGAGAAGGTTCCTTCTACAAAAGCTGACGTTCAGACAACCAAGGCCCCGAGTGACCGGAAGGATGGTAAGGAAGGAAAATTCTGACTGTTGTGGCTTGGTTTTTTTGTAGTTTTTGGTCATGTACTTTATTCTGTTGGAGATTATTAAACGAATTGAGATTTTAGTATATAACTCACACATTGGTCGGTTCAGATGGCCCTTGAATAAATGTGCCGCAGTATGACCATCTTTTTATTTCAATAGCTAATCATCAGGACTATTTACTGCATGTTGTTGTTAAGTGCCATCGAGTCGTAGGCGACTCATAGTGACCCTATGAATGAAAGTGCTCGACACTTGCATGTGCATCTTTCATCCTTTCTCCAGGTTCATAGGGTTTCCGGAGGCAAGCTATTTACAGTGTTTCTAAACTTGAAAGACAAAAATTCTTTATAAAGATAGTAATAAAAGGCAGTAATAATGGAACTTTTTAAAAAAACAAAACAATGATACTTAAGTCAAAAGTGACGTACAGTGGAGTCAATGGAATTAGAGCCCTGTCATAAATGAAGGGCTACCTCTGTGAGCGTGTGCACGCACGCCATCCAGTTCATAAATGTGTGTCAGTAATCTGCCTCTGCAGAAGCCTTAGACATTCACTCTTTAAGGAACTGGCATTAGATTGCAGCCTTTGCCAAGAAATATGCACACAGGTTTACCTACCATGCTTAGAGTCTGTTGTCTGTTGAAACCAAAGTTAAGACTCTTGTTTTATCCTGAGATAATAAGTTGAAGAAAATACCCTGATTCTGACCTCCAGGGAGTTCCTAAGTTCTGAGGGGAGTAACTGTGTGAGGCCTCATGCCTGCTCTGGGTTTGGGAGAATGGGAGGCCTTGCCACCCCCAGAGTAGCAGGAATGCTAGCAGGGACGGCCAACCAGGCCACTCAGGCTGGGGAAGCCCATTTTCCTTCCCCTTCTGGACAGATTAGACACTACTGAGTCACTACGTGCATCCAGAATCAGCAGAGCCTTGGTGCGTTGTGAATGGAAGAACCATAAAGGAGGGGCGTTGAAGCAGCCCTGCTTCCAGGAAGGATGATCTCGGTTGATATGTGTCTTATGCTTCAAGGAAATGTAGCTTCCCTTGCAGTGCTCCCAGCCAAGTAGGACAGTCTTTTCCCTGTTTTCACTTTCATAGCCTCCTAGAGAGTACATCCAGAGACCTGTACTGGGTTCAACCCTGAACTGAGCTCTTCCATAGTTTAGCTGCTGAGGAGGCCTCTAGGCTGAAACTAGGCTCCCTCTCCACTCACACCTCCACATGTGGAGGTGGAAGTTACTAAAGAAAGTTGTGTGAGCAGGGACTAGTCACCACCCATGTATCCTACTTTGACCATTCTGTGATGGAACCTTTCAGTCTGCAGATGTAGTCATGGAGATATGTAGAAATGTTTCTACAGCAGTTTCTGCCTCATTACACTGAGTTCACATTGAATTCAGGTGGTCTCCTAATTTTAGAGATCAGGTTCTGTTCTTTGGAGCTGCAGGGATACCGGGAGGGACTGCACACTGGCCTGTGTTCAATGACTGTTGGGGCCTCCCTGATGTTTCTGTTTCATGTTGCAGAAGGGATTATTTGATTAGGTTTAATTCAATAGCCATGATTATTTCTTTTTTCGGTTCCCAAAACTTAAAAAACTCATTGTCGCCAAGTCAGAATCCACTCATATCTGACCCTCCAGGAGGTTTTTATCTTTCTCCTTATAAAGCCACTGGAGAATCTGCCTTTATATTAGCAGCACAACTCCAGTGGACGATACCACCAGAGTTCCCTGCTATTCCCCAAACCTCTTTTGCTGCCAACCCAGAGGCATGTGGTTCAAATCTACCAGCTGTTTCACAGGAGAAATACATGCAACCTCCCATGAGATTCACTGAAAACCCCCTAAAGGGTTAGCTACACATCAGTTCCAACTTGATGGCACAGAACAAAAATAATCTTGGGCCAAGATGGCGGGCACTGACTGTCATTGACATTTCTGCACTCAGGGCCTTTCTTAGGTGGCTGCAGGAATTCACCAGGGTCCTGGTCTTTGAAAGCCTCCTGACATTAAGCCATTTGACTTGTTCTGGTGGAAAATTAGTAACACAGCGAGCAACCTCCCCTCATGCAACTTCCCCCTGTTAAGAACCCGCTGGAGGGTCAGTTATGAGTAGGTTCTGACTTTATGATACTCAACAAAGTCTAGAAAATGAGCATCACGGTTCAAATCCACCAGATGCTCTGCCGGGGAAGGAGGGACAATCTCCTCCTGTACCAGTCAGATCCGATTTGACGGTACACTCACACAAAAATAATAAAAAAGAAAATGAGCATCAATGTCATAGGGAAAACACCTGCACTGAAGCAGTAGTTAAGGATTGATGCATACATGCCCAATACCTATAGAATGCCAAATTCATTACAGGATAACAGGGAATGTGGGTCCCACTCAGTGGCAATTTTTATTGGATGACTGCAGAAACCAGTTTGTCCTATTAAAACGAACAGATATAAGACTTATGTTTGGATTAACAGATGCTCATCTGCATTTTTGGTGGCATGTAAATAGAATAGTAATTGAAATAAATTTACACCTCAGAAAAATGGTTGTGGTTTTTTTTTTTTACAAACAACTAGTATTTATGTGAGCAGCTGCCTTGAGACACTTGACTTTTTTTTAAAAAAGATAATCTAAAATGTAATCTTTATTTGTGGTAAGTATACATATGTATGTAAGTTTGTTTTTTGGTGCCCAGCGTTAAACCTTCACCAGTTTACCAGTTTTGAATGTATAGTTTGGTGCTCTCGCTTGCATTCTTCATATTGTACAGTCTTTCTGAAAGTCCTTTTCCAAATTATTCTACTATCATGTACATTTTTTTCCTGATTACAAAACATGTATTTCTTTCCTAAATGTTAAAGAAAATGTAATAATTGATAAATCCACTGCCTTGAGATACATACCATTAACATATTAGTGGCTTTCTGTCTACTTCTGTGTGTCCATATTTCTCTCTCTAACATTATGTTGGGGATTATTGTCCAGATGAGTATATATAGGTACATTTTCATATATAGATAACACCTTTCTTTTAAATGTGTTCTTTTTTTTTCATTCCTGGTGGTGCAGCAGTAAAGTATTTGCCTGCTAACCAAAAGGTTGATGTTTCAGATACTTCCCCAGATACTCTGCAGGAGAAATATGTGATGATCTGCTTTTCTAAAACTGCCTTAGGGTAGTTTTGCTCTGCTCTCTAGGGTCACTGGACTGGTTTGGCTTTGGTTATATGTGTGTATTTTTCCTTTAATTATGTTATTGTAGACACTCAGGTTGTTGAGAGGTACACAGAAAAATCTCTTAATATTAGTGTGTTGTTGTACATTGCCATTGAGTTGAGCACAACTCATAGCGACACTATGAACAAAAGACCTACAGCCTTTCTATAACTATCGTTGTTTCTTAAAAGTTCATACTCAGTATATATAGAGAGTAATTGTTTTGGATCTTCCTAAGTTTGTGACTTTTCTGCTGGTTGTGCTATATTTTAAGTGTTGGTTTCTAGAATGACAACTGCCTTCTCTTTGGTGTTGGGCTCTCATGAAGAAGTGTTCATTTTTGCTGAATGCTTCTGTCTTGGATTTTGACTGAACTGTTGTTTAGGGATTTACCAGACTCCCTGGTTTCTGTGTTCCAGCTGTACCCCAGAGAGCAGGCCACAAGATGGTTCAGACCATTGACAAGTTGGTGATGCGTGTGGTGGAAGGCAGTCTGTCTCCTAAGGAGAGAACTGCACTCAAGGAGGACCCTGCTCACTGGTAGGTCTTCAGATAGATTCTCACATTTTATCCCCTCCCATAAAGCTATCGACAGAAAAGAAAAAGTGTGTTGTAGACTCATTTGACTGACGTTAGCGTTCCTCCCTCTCAGAATTGTTCACATTTGGGGCTGATGATTCTGTGTTAATGGGTTCTGTTCACAGCCCTGTGACTCTTTGTAGTATTGGATATGGGCCCAGACCTTAAGTGACCCAACACTCTGAAAGGGCTTAGCAGATATGCTTCTGATACCGTCTTGGTATTTTGACACCTGTTCTTCTGTCCCTGACAGGTTTTTGTCTGATAAAGACAGTCTGGAGTACAAATACTACAAGCTGAGGTTGGCAGAAGTGCAACGGGGGAAGCAGGCTTCAAGTGGTGACGGCCAGCAGCCAGGCCCAGCAGAGTGTGCAGTCAGGGCCATGCTTTATGCCAAGGCTGTGCGCAGCCTCAAGAGGCGACTCCTTCCCGGTCGGCGGCGGCGGGGCCTCCTCCGTGCCCAGGGAGCCCGAGGCTGGAAGGTGAAGAGTGTGACCACCAGCACCCAGACCGTCCTCTCGTCAGGTGCCAGACTTCGACATCAGGGTCGAGGAGCGCCCACCAAACCAGATGGAGGTGTCTCTGTGAAGGACTCCCCACCGGGACCTTCCACACTGACTCCTCAGGATCCCAGTTCAGAGGCCTTGGACTCACCACCGAAGCCAGCAGACGTGGATATTCCTGAAGCCTCTCAGACTTCCTCTACCTGCCCATCCGCTGAGGGTGAGTGCCCCATCTTTCCCTTGGCCCCTCTCAGTCCTCATCTCTAGGCCCTACTAGAGTGTCCGCCATGCAGCCTGGTGAAGCCTGGTTATAACAAGATGGACATACAGAAGGGCCACCCTGACTCCCTATATGTGAGGTCCTCTGTGTGTCTCTCAAGACTGGCCAACCTATGAGTTCTTCTGAGTGTTGATATAGCCTCCAAGCAAACCTCTTCTCGTGGGCAGAATTTCCCTCCCAGCAGTAGAGAATGTGGGAGCCCCACACTGCACTTCTGCCAGCAATTTTTACAGCTCCATGACAGACCTCTAGAATGGAGTACACAAGGTAGATGTAGATGTCCAAGCAGCAGCAAGGGTCCTGGTCTGCAAGCTTGGGTGATAGCATAATGGGACTGTATCCCTCACCCACACTGTTCACCTGGGTGTATCTCCACACAACAGGCTCTGAGCTCCCTGGCGGGACTTGCCTCTTGCTGGCTGGAGTATCCTTGGTCCTGCTTCACACCAGGTCACAGAGCACAGCTTTTGCATGGAACTGACCCTGATGACACTTTTTGTTTACAGTTGATGAAAAGACCAAGGAAACAGCAGAGAAACTGGCACGATTTGTTGCTCAGGTGGGACCAGAGATTGAACAGTTCAGCATCGAGAACAGTGCCGACAATCCTGACCTATGGTGTGTATTTCCTGACCTGTGTAGCATGGGTAGTTTGCTGAGAACTCATTCCCATTGCGTGGAGAGGGGCAGATTGGAGTCTAGGCAGCTGGTCTTTCTGGGGCATTAAGGAGAAAACCCCAGAGGGCCGTTTTCATAGGACTTGTGGCCGAGCAGAGCTGGCCAAAGAGGGAAGAGAAAAATACTTGGTTCAGAGAAGATGTCCAGGGTGTTGTGTGTGTCCACAGGTAAAAATCTGGCTATGTAGGGGGCTCCATCCTTTGCCTGGGAAGCCTGAGATGGCCAGCTTTCATCACACTGACTACTGCAGCTCATCATCACTCAGTCTCACTGCTGATCTCATGGTCTTCCATGACTTGGATTTCCAGAATGAGGCGGGCATGGGGTATAGAGGAGGCAAAGTGTCTCGTGCCTCTAGCAGCACCTGACCTGTGCATCCTTGTTTCATCCTAGGTTCCTTCATGACCAGAACAGCGCAGCTTTCAAGTTTTATCGAATGAAAGTGTTTGAACTGTGTCCCTCAATTTGTTTTCCATCATCTCCACTTACTGTTTCTGCGGATTCCCTGGAGGGAGACAGGAAGAGCCAAGGCGAGCCTCCTGTGGAGGAGGAGGAAGACGAGGCAGCAGCACGTGCAGTTGGAGAGGCCTCTGGGTCGGGAGGCGTGGCTGATGCATCTGGGGGCTCTGAGGCCACGGCCCGCGCTGATGGCCTCCCAAGCACAGCTACTGAGGATGACCCAGCAAGTACACCCGCCCCATCCCAGGCTTCCACGGGTACCTACTACCCCCGAAAGAGGGTCAGTAGCAAGTCACTGAAGGTTGGCATGATCCCAGCCCCCAAGAGGGTGTGCCTAATCCAGGAACCCAAAGGTGAGAGCCATGGGGGAAGAGGGTTTCTTCACACCACAACAAGCAGCTTGAGGACAGACCCCTTAAACATTCCCTAACCTGCTCTCCCATCTTGCCTGTCCCTGCACTGCCTCCTTGGTGATTTGCTTGGACAGGACATGTCTTCTCTGTAGACTCCCGGTTCTTGGAGAAGCTTGTTGGCAAGTGCCCTGGTCTGCATGTCTACAGCAGGCAGCTTTCTGGTCTTTGTATATGTTCTTAGTTGGTTATCAAGTCTCTTGTGGCTCTTAAAGCCTTGTCTGCAGAATAGAACTATGTTCCATAGAGTTTCAGTACTTTGACCTTTAGGGAGCACATCTCCAGACCTTCCTTTCAAGACACCGCTGGGAGAGTCCAGACTGCTAAACTTTCTGGCAACTAGTTGAATGTTTAACTCTGTATGCCACCCTTTGTGGTGTTTAATGTAAGCAGTTTGCTAGGTCTGTATCCCAAGCACAGCTTTACTGTGTTGAGATAAAACTCAACATTTCTGTTTGGTCTCAAACGTACCTCTCAAGATACCTCTCCATTCATGTTCTTCTTATGTGCTGTGGATGTCTCCAGCAGTGCTCCAAGCCCAGCTTTGGACAGGGGAGTGTGCAGTGGGAGTGTTGACTTCCCACTTGGAGTTTTTGGCTCTATGCATCTACCTACCTTTGATCCAAAACTGAGGAATAGCCTGATGGTATACAGTGTGTGCCCACCGGTAGTGTATCTGCTATCAGATGTAGGTGGTGGTGTGTGGGGGAGAATCAGAATTCTTTTTTTTTTTAGTGC